TGATCGAATGGATGACTGTCATCGTATTGGCAGATCACCATTGCTAGCATGTCATATAGGCATGGTAACATGTTTTCCGTTAGATCCACTATATCTTTTTTACCTAGGTGTAATGAGAAGGCTCCTGAAGCTGTGGCTTAAAAGCCCACAGGGAACTAAGTATAAGATGTCAGCTGAGGCTGTAGTCAAAGTAGATGAACCGTTGAAAGCTATTAATCGCTATTTACCAATAGAATTTAGTCAGAGAGCACGATCTCTTAGTGAGTGGGAATATTGGAAAGGGACTGAATTGGGACAATTTTTACTCTACACAGAGGTAGTTGTTCTTAAGGATGCCATTAAACGTAAGTATTGGAAACAGTTTATGCTTCTCTCAACCGCAATTCGTTGTCTAGTTAGCCCAAAATCTTGCAAGGATTGGGTTCAATACGCGACAACCTTGCTTGAGCGGTTTACTGAAAAGCATGAAAAACTGTATGGTCTAGGGAAATGGTGTACAATGTACATAGCATTGTTCACCTACCAGAGGACGTTGCGCGTCACGGTCCGTTAGAAAGATTTTCTTCTTTCCCATTCGAGAGTTACTTAGGGATGATTAAGGATATGGTAAAAAGAGGGATCAATAGTTACAACAAGTAGCAAGGCATTTGGAGGAGCTTTTAAGACTGTTACGATCAATACCAGGTCCATCTGAATGAACTTGTAAGTTTGAGCACTTGAGTGGACCACGGCCACCGGCAGGCGATGGACCGTGCACGCAGTTCTCGTCTGTTAGTAAGGGCAGCCTTTTCATCGGGACAAGTCCCGCGAATGGGTCTATCTCCATCGATGGGAAACTTTTGAATGTGAAGAACATTGTTCGCTATGCTTCAGGTGTTATAATCTTAGTTTACGTCCAATATGAAAATATCGAGGATTACTACACGTTCCCGCACAAATCATCACTTTTTAAAGCTTTCAAAGCCAAGATAGAAAACACTTTGGACTCCTGCCCCTTGCCGTCGCATTTTGAGAAGTACACATCCTTCCCCGTGGAAGACTACTACGTCCTCATGACGATCAATCAACGTTGGGACGTGGATGAGTAGGTGACGTAAATGTTCTTCTCACTGGCAGGTAAGAATCTCCTGTTTACCATTACTTTTTAACGTTTTTTCTTGCTTCTGTTTTGTACCCAAAAATGTAAATAAACGGTTAAACATACCTTCCAGTCCAACTGGAAGTGGCTTTTAACTTGGCCGGTTACTGTTTTAACAGTAATCAGCAGTTTAACAGGCGCTAAAGGCGACCTTTCCATTTTAGACTTGTAATGTCGGACGAGAACAAATCACGACGGCATTCGAGGCGGAAAAAGAGGACGCCACGTAAATATAAAGATTTCCCGCGCGGACATGTGCGCATATCATCGTCATCATCGACGGTAATAAATTTATTGACAAAAATTTTATGGATAATGGTTCAGGACTCCGACAGCTCCTCATCTGGCAGTCAAGTTACGCTGCCTACATGCATGTCACCGACGGCCTTTCCGTCATATGGTAAGCACTTGCATAACAACGACTCCGCTTTTAGACATAAACAATCACATTTCAAAACGTCGTCGTTCGGGTCGGAGATCCTCTGACTCAAGGGTCAATCGTCGACTCAAACACATGAACAATTTGCTACTACATGTAGTGCAATATCAGACGAAGACCCTACAGCAGTTGCTCGAAAACCAAAGAGTCATCATAGAGCTTCTGCAAAAAGCTCCAGCCGTGACTATGACAAACACATCGCCTCAATCCCTAATTTTCTCGCGGGCAACCAACCTGCAGGATTTTGATGGCCTCGTGTCATGGCTCTCTGATGGAAGCTTCAAGAGCCAGTTGGTATGTTATAATGTTGTCCTTACACACCTTCACAGATTAACCACTTGCTGAGTGTAGGCGGAAATACTCTCGAAGATTTCGCCGACAGGGTCTTCAAGGCCCTGTTTGCTGACAGTATTACCGCCGAAATTACATACACCGGCGCTTATTTCGACAGCCCCAAGAGGGCTTTTGAAAAATCAGAACTCCACGCCCACGTTACAGGTAAGTTTTACTTTATTCCGATTAAACGCTTACTAACGCAGAGGTGGCATCCGCCTGGTGCCTGTCGAACAATTGTGACCGGGGTGGAATAAAAAAAGCCTTCATTAAGGCTTTCAAAAAGGCCTATAAGAGGCTTAACAGGGGGAAATACTTAATCCCCAAACGCTCCCGATTTTTTGGTGGGTTAATTAAACACCTTCACGTACAGTACTCGTTCAAGTAATCATAAATTTTGCCTAATTGTTCAATGTTATTTTTTTAGGCGAGCACGACCCGAACGACGACGATGGCCCCGGTTCGTCCGCAGGCACGGCGTTATATCCCCCACCTATTCTCCAAAGTAGTGTGATAAATGAATAACATTCAGTAGAGCTCCCAAAAACTTCCTTATTTTGTACACTCATATTTTTTCAACGTTTTGTTACATATAATATACTATCCCAGTATCAAATGTCTTAAAAAAAGTTATTTTTTAACGCGTTTCGAAAAAAGGGGGGAATTGCGATAAAGGAGGTACCTCCTGTCCGGTGGAAAATTGAGGTCTACATTGTGGACCCATTGTAGACGTCCCGTCGGATTCCACAATTGTTCCATGTGGAATTCCCGTAGAATCCTATTTTGTGAACTTGTAGGATTCCCGTAGAGTTCCTGTAGGATCCCACTTGCTATTAGGGATTGCGAAATTCTGTGACGTTTTCCTTATCAAATTCGGTCCCCGATTTGTAAGGGAATTGGTCCAATAAAAGGTGTGGTACTAATAATACTGCTGCTGCTACTATCACTACTACTACTACTACTACTAGCACCATCACTACTATTTTTAACAGCGATGCTACTGAGTGATTATACTACTGATAGTACATGGTATTTCCTCTAACCGTATAAATTCTTACTAATAAGAAGTTCATCCTGTGTTCGCAGTAAGCATGAAAAATGGGAATATGAGCTTACAAGCTTCCTCATCTTTAACGTACGGGGGACGGAGGCCAGCAGATACAGCAGATTTCCCCCGGGATTCACCTTTATTACGGCACCTTTGAGTTTCTTACGGTACAGATGTAGCAGAATTACAACCTACTGGAAGGGGTTTAGCGACTGGCCATGAAATTAGTAAGAGGCCAAGGTGCACTCCCATAGGAGAACCGCCCAGAATCCTTAACCTCCATCCACTGATTTAAGGGCAGTTAAGCGGAGATTTCATGCAAAACTGAAAATTTGGGATATAGGAATTGTATTTTTCTAGGCATACTTACTGCATAGACTAGTTTCAATAGGTATCGACGTTGTGGAGGAAATGCTATCGCCAGTATAATGGATATCTTAGTATCTCTTGCCAGCCTGGAAGGCTGACTCCGGAAATACGTTGGTTTTCATCAGCTGCTATAGTTACCGTAGCCCGATGACTCACTGACAAGGCCGCTCTGTGGCTTAGCCCACTTGTACACATTTCTAGTATTTTTGATGGCTGCTAAAAGAAGTAACGGAGGAGGTACTCCAGGCGACACATTTGAGGTTTATCATTTTCGAATATTATTCTCAATCATTAGAACTTATCTGAGGTTTTCAAATGTTTCATATGCATGGAGAAGCTGAATAATACCAGACTCTGCCCACATTGCTCGAAATTGTGCTGCTATGATTGCATTACGGTATGTGCTTTAAAACACTTTATGTTGCTAGAAATGGATAACCGAAAATCGACCACAATGTCCTCATTGTCGGTATGTTACTTGTGCAATGTTACTATATTTTTAGTGTATCTCTCGAAATTTATGTTCATTAGCATTTGCGATTAAGGCACCTAAATTGTTAATGGGCCATAACCGTTTTGACCGAAAGCCTTCTCCAGTTGAATACTTTTTTATGTTCACTTCTCTAGTTATCTGCCATCCAATCCTTTGTTAGTTATTTTGACGTAATCCTTATGCAATTTCCGTGGATCTGATTATCGGTCGATTATCTTATCTGCGATGACCTCAATACTTATCCTTCCACATCTACGATCTAACCTCCTTTGTCCTATGCAAAATCAATTTTATTAAACACAACTTCTGTTCTTTGCCCTTGACAAGCGTTTAAAATAAAAAAAATCCCATGAGCTTAACGACCTCAAACATGTGCCTCGCAGTGGCCAAAACTGTCGAAAATATTTTGACGAACTTTGATGTTTGATCAAGCCTCCATATCTGAAGTATTTAACCGTGACAGTGAGTTGCTACAGAGGACATTTTTAAAGAGAATGCTATTTCTTTATTATGGTTTAGTTTTTCTGTAGTTTTCTTTCTGCAGCGACTAGTGCTGTAGAGCAGTTACACCGAAACAGGAGTCAGACTAGAATACGATCCGCATTTGTCGGCGACACGGAGTCAGCATGAGCCTGTGACTATTGTCATATAAGAGTGTGCTCCGTATAAGCCGTCGGCCCTCACGCAGCGTTAGCCACAGCGTTCAATACAACCACTTGATTGTTGACAGACTTTGGCAGTGAACTAGTGCATGATTTTGGAAATGAGGAGTCAGTCCTACACTGGAGGATTCATTCCGATGGAAAATCGACGCATTCCTCATATAATTTGACTCATTTTGATCTATCACGACGGCGCAAGAATCGTGACTTCCAAGGCTGCTGATCGATGGACAGACTCGGCCTTTCTGAAGACTCGTAGTTAGACTGCAATGGCTCTTTAAAATTGCCCCTATTGCATTTTCACTGATGTGAGGTCGAGGCTGTCCTCACGAAAACCTATTGCCTACTGTGAGGACCAAGTCGTGTTTGGCACGCCTAAGCGCAGTGTTTAACTCGGTTAGGTTGTGCGCCCGCGCTGACCTATGGAGCAAGGCAGATGACAAAGGAGTGGTTTAAGTAGGTGCTGTGCAAAGCTGCCAATTAATCTGCTGATTACCAGTTTTGCTTTTGTTCAGTGAGAAACATAGTGGATGCCTTCGCCTGTAAAGGTCCAATTATCAATTTTCCTTCAGTTCCATCCGCGTTGTTGGCGGGCCGGTTCTCTACGAAGGTTTCACCTTCTTTAGAAAATGATGATCATGTAGGTCTCAAGTACGTAAAAACGAACCTAGAATTCACCGAATGTCTTTGGCAATTCCGTAATTTGGCTAAACTGGTTCTTTTGCTAATCTTGTAAAGAGGGAATTAATATTTTTGACCACTTCCTCCTGCCTCTTTCAGATAATGACCGTAGCATTTGGAAACAGACAAATATAGAGACATGACACACGATTTAATGATATCGAATTAGAGTAATTATAAGTTTCACAGCGATACGTGGGGTTAGAAGTTGTCGTACGTGATTAAAAACGCATAGCCTGATTCACTTTGTAAACCTGTAATGACAATCATACATATAATATTTGTTTCCGTAAGTCAGCGGACATGTCGCCTTAATGCGTTATCACCGAAGCTTCCTGAATCTGATGTTACTTGGATAAATCTACATCGTATGTATATCAAGGAAAAAATGATTACAGTGTTTCAGATCTTGCAGGCATGTATTGCCTTCTGATTTCGTCGAGGACATCTAGTCTCCCTAACAAGCAAAGCATAAGACTACTTTCGTTTCCGCATTTGTGACAGTTCTGTGTTTACCCCAGCCAAACCCTGGTATTGGCCTCCACGTGTCCACAATATGACTTGCTTAGGTTTTTGGAAATATAAATTATTTACGAGGTGTTTTGCTTGTGGTACAAATATGTGCTGTGAATGGTTCGAAGTTTTTGATCATTCTAAAATTTTATGTTTTATATGGCAACTATCTCGAGACTATATTTATTAGTTGGAGATTGATTTAGTGCCTTGGTGCTTTGTATATCGATGTATTGAGAGTTGTCTGACGAAACCAACCTTAACCGTGTATGTACTTTTACAGAAAGATTCCTTCGGAAGTTGTTGTTCAACTGCAAATTATCAACCCGAAGTGTTAGATGCCCGATGAGTGAGACATTTATAGGAAAGTTGTGGTTAAAGGACAAACAATATAAATGGTAGTTGACAACATGGGATTCAGGATCAGGTTTCTGAACTAATCATTTGAATGACTCAATCTTGGGAAACCACACGGACTCAGAAATAGGTCAACCTGTATGACCTGATTGTTATTGGGTCCAGTCTCGTGAGCCTTCGAGGTTTGAGTGTTGTGATTTGTTGTCGTTAAGTTGGTCCTAGGGAGCGTCCTTTATGTGGTGGCGGATCCCAACTTGCCTTACGAGGTCTGCCCAAGTATATTACATTAGCAGTATGGTTATACGGAAAACAGTTAGTCGGCGGCGAGGGCGGTTCTCAGCGTAGTTTGTGTACTGTTGGTGAGACGGATACAAGAGCATCTAAGAAGACCCGTACGGTAAGGAGAGCACGTAGTAAGGGGTTGAGCGTTGCCAGCATTGCTCCTCGGTAGTTTAGTTTTGCAGTATTTCAGCTTTACCTTGACTGCTGTCCACTTTATTGACGAGATCCACTGGAAGTCTTATCACATAGCAGATTTTTGTGGGCACTGCTGAGCCACCGTACGAAATGGCAGCTTCGTCCCGATAATTATCAGTGTCTGGAATGTCGATGCATCTATACTGTCTTACTGAGGCTATTTAGACAAATGACGCTGATTCTGCTGAGGCTTTAGCCTCCGCAGATCTTCACCGAAAGGCTCTGACAGGTTGCGTTTCCAGACGGATTA